ACGAACTCCATATATACTATGTTTTCATCTATATGTATGCACCTATGATACAGCTTAACGTATAAGTTAGGCACAGTAAGAGGTTAACATAATAAAGTAGAACAACTGTAACAATATTCTGTAATAGAAGTTATGTGAAAGTGACCTCTCTCAAAATACGTCAGTGTGCTGTGATTGATGAAGGGCGATGACAGAATGCCTATGAAGTGAGGGGAATGATGAAGCCCCTGTAACGTAGCCTACTGTTGACCTTCCATTGGAGGAAAGTCAGAAGGAAGATCGTCAGCTTCCTGATCACAGTTGACCAAAGAAAGTGAAACTGCAGATCTGTGGGGGATTCCTGTACTACCAGGGGTTGAGAAACACTTGCCTAAGAACTAGCCACGGGGGATGAGTGACTGAGGTAGGGTGGAGGACAGGATCTCTGGAGGAGAGAAAATCAAGGCACTGAGAGGTCAGAGTTTCGGGAAGACAACCTACATGGAGAGACTTCCCAATGGTTATGATATTGAATGACAGTGTAACCCAGGGGGTCTGGAGGGGACTGCAGGCAGGAGGGGTGGAAGTTCACAGTACTGAGTTTCAAAGCTGGGAGGATTGGGTGGTCGGGCGAGAGCACAGGAGAGAGGAGGAACAGCTTAGAAACAGTGGTGATGATCAGGAAGGACACCTTCCCCACCTCTGGGCCGATAGTACAAGAGCCGGGGCAGAGAAAAGAGCTACCATGTGAGGGCTGCAGGAGAAGCAACAGCACAATCCCCAGGGAGAACCAGGTTTCCATTAGAACAAATTAGGGGGCAGAATATCCGAGAAATGCAAGTTGGGAATATGGGAGATTTGCTAGTGGCTGACTGATTTCCAAGGGGCCTAGTGGAGGAGATCAAGGAATTGGGTGGGCGCAGGAGAGTTGAAGAGACGAGGTCAAAAACTGACATGGACAAAGCTGACTGGGGATGAGAGTCTAGGAAGTGACAGGTGCTCAGGAGCCCATCTGTGGTAACTGCAATAAGCAAAAGGCCATGAGGATAAAAGGTTTGATTGTCTCGAGGCAGATGATGTTGAGGTTATAAGTATTGGTGAAGGAAGGAGAGAAGAGGTTCTTATGAGGAACCCACCGAGTTCTGGGGTCCCCTTTACTTCCAGACGCTCTCTGACAACATCTTCACTCCTGACAGTTCGAAGCATGAATTAGAAAAGGGCAGGCTCCAGAACACTTGGAGCTTCTCTTCTTGATTCATGGGGCTATGAAGTAGAGGTTACTAATCTTTATGACAGGAATACCGCACACTGAGTGGCTTGGGCCTGCTGTATCGTTTACTGCCATGTAACAAATTTTCTCCAGACATAGTGGCTTAAAATTGCATTTATCATCTGGCATTTTCCATGGATCAGGCGAAATTTGTTGAGTCCTCCATCTCTGGGTCTCTCCAAAGCTGCAGTTATGGTGTTAGCAGGGGCTCAAATCATTTTGAGGCTCAGCTGGGGGTTGGTCTTCTTCCAAGCTCACTCAGTAGTTGTTGGCAGGATTTAGTTCCTCACTAACTTTGGCCAGAGGCCCCCTAGGGTCCTTGACATGTGAGCCTCTCCCTAAGGCAGCTCCATCATGGCAGCTAGCTTCATGGGCAAGAGAGAGCGTGCTAGCAAGACCAAAGCCAGTCCTTCGTAATCTAATCTCTGATTCCCATCACTTTTCCCTCATCCTGTTCATTAGAAGCAAGTCAAAAGGTCCAGACCACACTCACGGGGAGAGGGCATCACACAAGGCTATGAATACCAGGAGGCAGGGATCGCTGGAGACGTGTCAGAGAGTTGCCCATCCCTGAACCAACCACTGATAACAAAGAGATTAAAACTGGCTTGGACCAGTCAGCTTCTGCCCACCGCTGGAGCTGGTGTCAAATCCCCACACCACAAGGCCACACGTAATAGCAGGGAGGAGCAGAGGCCGCTGGGTTCACTGTAACCGCTAAGCAGCGTCCATGCTTTTATTCTTCCAACGCTGACCTGTTTTCTTTCTGTAGTATGGGGGTACATCCTTTTGTCTCCCCATTGCCCTCAAGATCAAGTCCAGACTCCTTACTTCAGCATGCAGTGGCCTTTGTACTCTGACCCCAGTTTATCTGTCCAGCCTTACTTCTAACCATGTACTCTCTTATCTTCTAAGCCAGTGGTTCATCAAACTTTTTGGTCTCAGCACCCCTTTAATACTCTTATAAGTTATTGAGGGCCCCAAAGAGTTTTTGTTACACCTATGGATATTTATTTAATTAGGAATAAAAACTAATTTTAAGATACTTATTAATTTGTTGTAAAATAATACTCATTACTTAAAATGAGTACTACTCACTACTGAGTACCTCACACTACTGAAAGCCAGCCAGGTGCCCCATAATGTTTTGCATTTAAAAAAATTTCTTTAATGTCTGGCTTAACAGAAGACAGCAGGGCTCTCATACTTGCTTCTGTATTCAGTCTCTGGCGATATGTTGTTTGGTTGAGGTATATGAAGAAAATGTGGCCTCACATAGATATGTGGTTGGAAAGTGGAGATACAAGTATTTTAAATAGTTTCTTCAGATTGTGGCGAATGTTCTTCTTTGATATTACACCAGCTCTGTGTAAGTGGTACTTTCTTAAAGGTTAGTTGCAGTGTGCAATCTGAACTTTCTGGATTCTGGTAATAAAGTCCATTGGACTGTTGAATAGCTTTTTTACCCATTTGGAAAATAGTGCTTCCCTGAGTTATTTGGGTCTTCCAAATATTTCATTATAAAGTATTTTTAATCACATTTATTTTTTTTTTAAGATTTTTATTTATTTATTGAGAGAGAGAGAGAATGGTAGAGAGAGAGCATGAGAGGGAGGAAGGTCAGAAGGAGAAGCAGACTCCCTGCTAAGCAGGGAGCCCGATGCAGGACTCGATCCTGGGACTCCAGGATCATGACCTGAGCCAAAGGCAGTCGCTTAACCAACTGAGCCACCCAGGCGCCCAATCACATTTTTAAATATCAGGTATATCTTGTCAGAAAAATCCTTATTGGGAAGTCTTGATCATGGAGGATTAAGCTTTCCAGAATTCTGTTTCAGTTAAAAGCTCAAACTTTGTAAATGTTGGCAACAAATACTGCCAGTTGTCTTCCTTGATGTAATAGGTTCACTTCACTTACTTTTGAGAAAGCGTCTGATAACCATAGTTTATCTGTCATCATTTTGTCAAGGGACAGTGGTACTCCATGAAAAGATCTTTCGTGGTCTGGGTATCGTTCAGCTTCGCGGCCACCCACAGCCTCTTCCTGGGCCTTGCATTCACGTGCCTCAGGGGAATCTGATTGCATTAGTCAGCCATTATCTGACCCGAGGGCGGCCTGGCACAGAGCATGGCCACCCGCACAGAAGGAACCACTGCTGGCCGCTTACTTGGAGGAGACTTCCAGGCTAGTAAATACTCCAAGCACCATGTCCAGGATATGTACCATTAATGAATTAGCAAGGTAGTTTTCGATGCAGAGATGCAAATAGAGTGATGATGGTATGACAAGTTGAAAAAATGGATTTATAATTTGCTTTTTATAAGCACCCATTTGACAGTACCTTGCTGAAAGACCCCCAAAAAAACCCCATGTCCTTAAAGTTGTGGTCACATTCTAGTACCACCTTTACTTTGTTTGGAGCATTAATTCTATTCTGAGGCTGCTATGGAACCATCTGTCCCAAAAATGTTCTTCAATACAGTTTGAGTAGTTGTTGCTATGAATGTTCTACCAATGTAAACACAGATTTTATTGCCTTTCACATTGATATTAATAAAAAGACGTTATTAAATAAATTTGTTAACAATTTTTCGTTGCTTTAAATGGGTGTCTTCCTCCTTCACAAGGGAGGAAAATCCCCCAAGGTCTGTGAGTATAATCATATCTAGTATTTTTATGTGTTAATAAATAATTAAGAGTCACTAGTCACTGCATTTTGCACGTTCACAGATTTTAAATGTGATTTTTATTATTTTTTTTTAATTGACTTTCTTATTCTGGTAGGAACAGAACAGGCTGTAAGAGAAATTTTCTGTATTTCTGCCATCTTGAGGTTTAGTAACTTTTCCTATTTGAAGTCCTGGAATTATTATATATGGTATAATGTACACTATAGATTTGGACCATGTATGTGAGAACATACCCACGAGTGAGCACTCATGAGCTCACAAGCAAGTTCCTTCAGTTAGCAAAGGGAAGAATGGAGGAAGCAAGCTGTTTTAGGAAAAAATATTGGGGCCTGAGTTCCCTCTTTCATTCATCCCTTGAGAGCATTAGGGGGTGGGGAGAGCAATGTATTTGGGTTAATGAAAAAAACAAAAACAGCATCCCTATGAGGAAATGTAACCTGATACAATATAAAGTAGGATCCAGACTGAAACAGAGTTCTTTTCGGATGTGGAAATATTTTGTCACACAGTTGCCATCTAAATTTTAAAAGAAATCTAGACTTCCTTTCTTTTCGTACATCTTGATTTTGTTAAATCTTGTATTTCTTTGAGCCATATGTCCCAAGTAATTAAGTTATAAATATTATACAGAATAATTTGCATACATTCCAAATGCTTTTTAAATTTGAAGCAGCTTACCTTTCTTTCTAACACCACAGTCCTCACAAAGATGGGTTATCTCAGTTTCTCCAGTGACTTTATCCCAGCAATACACATTGTCCTGAGCTGTATGAGTGCACACTGCTGCACTCTGTCCCTGCCAGACAGCAGACAGAGTTTATTGTTTTGTTCCCTTTTTTTGAACGGAGCACTAAAGATGCCCTAGCACCTCCTTTAGCTTTCTGAACTGATAGGTATCAAGCAAAGCCTCACGGGCTGTTCTTGCTGAGTATTGTTAATGTTGCAGTACAGATTAAAATCTCGGAAAACCCCATTTATTATATACTTTATAGGTATGGATAGCTTTTATTGTTAATATCCTAAATCATCTAAAGGCTTGTTTTCTTTCTTTTTTTTACAGACCTAACTACCATAATGAATGCTGCATATTAAGAGAAACCACAAGAAGGTTATACATTTGGTTGTCTAATAATCTTGGATTTGATATGAACCAACACATATTCCTTGTTGTCATTGACAGAACCCCAGTTTGTATGTACATTATTCACATTCCTCTCTGTTGTGTTTGGGGGAAAAAAAAGACATTTTAGCCTTTTTTAAGGTTATTGATTTAATTTCATGTTATTTGGTTGCATGAAGTTGCCCTTAACCACTAAGGATTATCAAGATTTTTGCACAGACTTATACGTGTCTAGGATCCTTTTATCAAGGCAGTTACATTCATCATTCTCCTGCCTTTACTCCACTATCACCAGACACCCCATTAAATATAAATTAGCATTTTTAAAAAATGACCACTCAACATAATGCTTAAGGGATTTCCTCTCTGTGACAGAACCCAGGAACCAGTTCCTAAACACATAATGTTGGCATATTGAAGATGAAATTAAAATTGTCCTTCAGTTTTGAGGCTATGTGTAAAGTTTAATCATACTGTAAAATATCTATTCCGTATTAGAAATAGCTAGTCAACAGCTTATACTTCTCAAAACTCATATTGTTACGTACACAAACTCAGTTTTTATATGTGAAGTTAGTGAGTCTTTTGTGTTACTCCAAAATAAAGGCAATGATTTATTTTTTCCCCAATGCCAATACGATTTGAGCTAATCACTCAAGGTGGATAATTTACATTTTAAAGCTGGAATCAGCAGTAGCCCTATGGGAAACCAGACAAAGCATTGACTTTTAAATGAACCATTGTTTTCTTTTGGAACTAGAATTAGAATAGTTGATATTCATCCACAAACCATTATTATGTGTACATTATTGTTGCTATTGTGATAATAGAGAATTTTATTTATTTTTATGCCAGCTTATATTGTGAGAACACATTTAGTCAGTTTGGGTTTTATCGATCCTGTTATGCTTGTCCTTGGAACATCTTTCGCGTATTCGAGGTTTGTAGTTGAAAAATTTACTGTAAAAAAAAAAAAAATCAAAAACAAAAAAATGTATTGTTTTTACAGAATAAATTTATTGGAATGTGTACTGGGAGTAAGATTTGAGGTTGTAAACAACGAAGTTAGTGTAATTTGGCTTCATCTATGTAATGTGAGGTATTAATGTAATTCATATATTAAAGCAAAAATTGTTAACAGCAAGTTGACAATAGAATCAAGTGCAGGTGAGGGTTTTCTTTTTCTTTCTTTTTTTTTTTTTTAACACTGTCTGGGTTTTAGGTTTTTTGTAAACATGGGGGAGGGAAAGGAATGGCTACACCATTGCTCGCACATCTCAGATAATATTTACCAGCTCAGTGGACCCTAAATTCGCACACTTGACATTATCCATGCATTGGTTTCAACTCCCATTTTGTTTTTGTTTTCTTATTTTGGTGAGGAGCTAATAAATAACATGAAGAGAAAATGTGAGACGTTCTAAAAGCCCAGGGCCATTGAGGATGGGGCTGGTGCTGGTGGTTGGTGGTGGTGGTTATGGCAGCCGAGTGTATGAAAGCACCAGTCTGCTTACCCCTCTAGGGCACTGAGAAGGCGGCTGGATTTTTAGTTTGTTTCTCTCGCTTAACAAATATTAATTTTTCTCTATACTCATAATTCCAAATATGAAAAGTTCATTAAAAGATAGTAGGGATGCCACTCCAGTTCTTTTTCCTTGAAAAGTACTTTTTAATTTTGAGAGTTTTAATTCAATCTTAAATTAATGAAATTTAATTAATTCATCAAAAGTCCTCTTCATTGCTCACACTAAAACATAAGGAGAATGTAGATGACATTTTGAATTGGAACATGTAACTGACAGATTTTTAAAATAAAAATCCTAAAGACTACAAAACTGTTTCTGAAAAAAAATTACAAAATGTTTCAAATTTAATAAGATTTGTTTTCATAAAAGGCCAAAAAAAATTTATTAAAAATATACACAGAAATACAATAGAAATACTTCCAGTCACCAATAAAACAAGTATTCATTAAGAGTAATGATAAAGTTATCGATCCCTCCTTAGCTATTTAGAGTCACAAAAAAATTTTATTAAAAGCAGTTCTTAAAACAGCAGTAAATAATATACTTTCCTTGGGAAAACATATTTTCAAATAACATTTTAAAATATTGTGATGATTTGCTTTTTATATTGAGGTTAATAATGACGCATATATATCTTATATGCCCAAAGTATCTCTCCAGTATGTATTTGCTGTTTTGAATTTTTTAATATGCATAGGCCATATTCATATTCACTTTTGAATAGTTCATTTTCATGCTCACTATTGTAGGAGCTAAGTTGTAATTGTTTACAGTTATATTTAATATGTGCAAACAGAATACTGAAATAGAAGGTCAAGCTTATTCACAAATAATTTTGAATATATTTCTTTAAACAAACTGTTTCTCAACTTCACTTTTCCTTCAAAAAATGAAAATTTACCCACACAAAACCATATGAGAGCTCACACATACAGTGCAGAGCAAGAATTTATGTATTCTTAAGTATTTCTGAATAGGAAGGGAGTGAAATGGGACAAAATATCAGTCAGTACCAGGATAACAAAAGTCTGTAATCTAGAGAGGAAGAACATGAAATAATATCTTTATTCAACTTTTTCATCTGCCTTTGTTTTTATAAAGAACTCTGGTTTGTAGATACAACGATAGGCCAAGAGCTGAGGAAGAACTCCATATGCTATGTTTAATGCTAGAAAAAGGGTTTTCGCTTCTTCGGGGACTCTGTAGACATAAGCAGTTCTAGCATGAAGAGAAGCACCGATGTGAGAAAACTGAGCCTGTTGCATTTAAGAAAAAGGGGGGAGGTCAGCATGAATTCTGTGTTCAGTTGGATTCACAGTGTGTTCTGGATGACTCATTCAGACTGTGTTTCCTGTGCCCTCAAAACCAGGACTCTCTCAAACAATCCATAGTCTTCAGGATTTCACTGAATTTACGGCCAGTCTTAACATTAACTGTTCAAATAAAGTAAACCTTCCTTAGTGTGGCTTTATCACCCATCCAGTGCCCCTTACCAAACATTAGTGCTCAATTTAAAAAACTGAATAAAATCTCAGGGTTTTTTTCCTTCTGATTTGCATTCTGGAGATCTATACAGGCACTCATTGTGGCTTACTAAATGTGTTCCAATACAAATGAAGAAAGTACAGAGTTTAGAAAGTGAAAATATTTTTAATACAGCTATTTAAAGAGAAGCACTGAGGACCTCAGCTTCATTAATCAGTCTTTTTTACCTATTCCTTGCAACAAGAGCTCAAAGCCCTTCATTATATATTTTCTGTTTATTTCTTCATGTATTTTTTTTATGCAACTTTAAAAAATACTAAGGGTTGTTTTGTAAGTAAGGTTCTTACCAACTTGGGTGGGGGTAGGACTGTGGTTGCTCTTTATAATATGGTAAATGTACATGTAGGCAAATCAAATTCTAATTTATTTAGAAGTATGGCTTGTCAGCATAACCTGAGGCTAGAGCTTCCCATTTGTACTTATATACTTGTTCATAACGTACATTCAGAATGTATCTTTTTTGATACTTTTCATAAGCACAGGGGAAAACTGTATTAGAAAAGGCTTCTGTGTGAGGATTTCCTCAGGATTCTCATATTGTTACAAAATGCAACCCTGGAGTCTGGAAATCTAAGCTATATGTGAATAAAGGATTGGTTCTAAATATAACAAGTGATGAATTATTAGTTCATCAGGATCAAAGTGAAGAGAGAAGATATTATAACCTAAAGAAGTCACAGAATAAGAATGAAAAACTAAATAATTTGCTTTAAATACGTATAAGTTCTTACACTTCCTTCTGTATGAAATCAGTTTATTCTGCTAAGTGGTTAACAGATAAAAGTGTTCCTTAGCACTTGACTTTACCAAGAGACGGAAGGGACAAGCTTTCATCAGCAGCATGTGTATGGATCTGTATCAGTGACAGGTACTTTAACAGGCTACATTTTTACAAATTGCTGATACATTCTAGGGACCTCACAGTACAGTTTTGCTACTCTCTGGAGATAAGAAATTAGTGTGGCGTGTTACCAAGGACCAACACAGAAACTGTCCACCTCTGTGTGCACTGTGATCCATGAGGCTCCGTGAGGGCTCTGCCCTCAAGCACATGTCCCCCAGGCAGAGGCCCAGAGGGCACCCCACAGATGGTAAGCATTCCATCTCCGGGCTCTGAAGACAAACAGCCTTGTGAGTAAAGGGTACTGGAGAGGCTGCTCCGAGGAGCCGCTCTTGGGTAGTTCTAGGAGCACTGATCAGGAGCTTGGCCCCTGTTGCTGTTTTTCCCTCGGGCTTCTTTTGAATAACAGTGTTTTTCTGAATAGTATAACCAAACTTCTGGACTAGAGGCTAGATATGAACCTCGATCTTCAGAAATGTGGGTTTGGTGTCTCTGTCTTTATAGACACTTGTACACATGACAAAAATCACCAGGTTTGGGGAAATGCCAACCATACTTTGAGAGATTAATATGAGCAATCATGCCTACTTGCATAGGGAAACCTGCATAAAGTCAGTGATTCCGTAGGCTCTTTTCCTGCACTCCCCAGTGCAGTTAATACCTCATTTTCAAAAAACAGCAAAATCATGGCAACATTACAAAATGATCATGTCCTTAGATTAGATTGTAAGCCCACCGGGCAGGTACTGTGTCTAATGTTTTGTGTGGCGCCTCTCAGATTGTTAGAGCTCAATAAACATTAAACAACATTGGTCTTGTGACTGTCAAAGTACAGAAAGGTTCTACAAAGCATTTCTCTATTTTTATACCTATTTTGGTAGACCTGCCTTCTCCAGAATTACCTATTTACGTTTCTAATGCAAAGAGGTGTCTGCAGGTGAGAGAAGCCTAAGGCCAGTGTTCTGCGGTTTCTGGCAGTGCCTGCAGCTCTAACAGGTGTCTTTACAGTGGCCACACCTCCTGCCGAGTCGGCACCCAACCACAGCTTCCTCCCCAGGCTTCAGAAAAACCCCGTCTTGCTGAGAACGGTGCCCTCCCCCAGCACACAAGGCCTGCCGATGGAAGGACCGAGAGCTCAGCCTGGCACCTGGGCTGGCATCCGGGGGCTCTGGGCTCAGTGCCGCTGAGCTGACTGTCACCCAGGATCATAGGTACAACTTGTGGAGCCCAGAAACTTCTGCCAAGTTCAGTGATCTGACGTTGGGAGGCACTAATCCTCTTTCTTGCCATTCTAAATCAGCTTCCACCTCAAGTAGATTTACAAGATATGCTTTGACTTTTTTTAATGGATGATTAGAATGGAAAATGCGGCAAAAAAAAAAAAAAAAAGCCAAGAACAGTTAAATTTTAATAGCTCCCTTTTCTTGTATTTAGAGACAACATGGAAAGGATGACTAAAAAATCACGATCTTGGTTCCAGAAAGAAGAGCTGAAAGAGTATCATGTGTCCACATAAGTATCATAGGCCAAAACTAATGCTGGAACAACAGCCAAGCTATTTGGCCGATACAATATAAGTAGTTAATCCAGAACTGTGTCATTTTTTAGGGTTTTCTGAGCAGCACAGTCCAGGGGTTAAGAACACTGCATCTGGAACCAGACCACCAGTGTCAGAGCCCATCTCTACTGGCAGTATGACCTTGGGTTAGGTATGTAACCTTTTTGGCTTCCTCATCTATAAAAGTAGGATAATAATGGAGCCTACCTCATAAGGATTGCTATGCCTGTTCAATGAGTTGATCTTTGTGGAGTGCTTAGGGCAGTGCCAAGAGAATCACCTGTTCATGATCTGAAATTCTACTTTGTTGAGAACTCAGGTGGGCTCTTTGTTTTTAGATACCCTTGCTGACCTTTTGACAATTTCAAGACGATCTGTCTCCACCAAAGGATAATCATGTGAAGACATTAAACCCAAAGTCTAATTTTAATATTAAATAAAGATGTTTTCTGATGAATTACACTTGAAGCAAACTATTAAAATAGGCTTTGCATTAGTATCCCAATTATCCATGTTCTTCCAGAATCTTTCAGGTATTTCCTAAAGGTTTCCATAAGGAAAAAAAACAAAAATTCGCCTCCAGGAGAGGCAACTCTACAACCAAATTACCCACAGATAAGCTTACAGACCCTTTTGTGAGGAAGTACACAGCATCCGCTGTAGCCAGGGAGTGGGAGAGTCTGAGCAGCGAGTGGGAAG